CACACACACACACACACACACACACACACACACACACACACACACACCCCCTCCCCCAGGTGTCTGATGCTGAAGTTTTGGTCACTGACCATGATGTAAGCTTCACTTCTATTACACCCTCTTTTATGGATAGGACATCATGCCTTGTTCTCCAACCCCTCAATATGTTTAATCTCCATATTATATGCCTGCAAAATTATACTCCATCATAGCAATCTGAAGTTTTTGTTCTGTGGAGCCATACTAATAGTGAATGATTTGTTAACACTCTGATCTGCCTATTGAAGAGGTAGGGTCTGGGTTGTTTTACAGCACATGCAATAGCATAACACTATTTTTCTATTAGAGTAATTCTGTTCAGTGGGAGACTGCATTTCTAAGCAAAAAACTATGAGCGTTTCTTGTTATCTTCCCATTTCCATTAACACAGCTCTGAGGCTGTGTTGGATGCATCAGTACACAATTTTTATTTATTTATTTATTTATTTTTAAAACCTGGACTGGCCAAAACGGGCGTCTTTGATAAAATTTCTTTTACTGTTATCAGAACCCTTTTGATAGGCATCTGACCAAGCCACTTTTTCTGGTTTTGTTTTCTGGTATAGTCTTGTGATAGAAGCAACGATGTCACTGGAACCGCCCACAAATTTTTGGTAATAGTTAACCAGACCTATAAATGATTGAACCTGTTTTTTCGTTTTAAGGACAGGCCAATTCACAGTAGTTTCCTATTTCAGGGGATCTGGGTGGATTTGGCCTCCACCTATCCAATGACCCAGGTATGAGGTATTTGCTGCCCAACTGTACACTTTGACACCTTGATTGTGAGACCTGCATCCCTGAGGCTTTTCCACACGCTTGCCACATATGTTTTGTGTTACTCCCAGGTGTTGTTAAATATAGTAATATCATCTACAGTGGAGTGCAAACTCCTAGAACCCATGTAGCACCTGCTTGATCAGCTTCTAGAGTGTGGCTCCTGCATTTAATTATTCTGAAGGATAGTACCTTAAACTCAGAAAGTCCAAAATTGGTAACGAATGCAGGGTCCTAGAGCCTGGGCTCTGACCCAAGCCTGGAAGTCTACACAGCAATGAAACAGCCCCGCAGTTCCAGTCCAAGTTGACTGGGATGGGCCAGCCAGGAGTTTTTCTTTGCTGTATAGACATACTCTTAGGGGTCTTCCCCTGACTCTCAGGCTAGGTCTACACTACAGCGGGGTTCCGACCTAAGATACGCAACTTCAGCTACCTGAATACCGTAGCTGAAGTTGCGTATTTTAGGTCGGCTTACCTGGCGGTGAGGACGGGGGAAAGCCGACTGCTGCCGCGCTGCCGCCGACTCCGCTACCGCCTCTTGTCGAGGTGGATTTCCGGAGTCGACGGCAGAGCGATCAGGGATCGATTTTACCGCGTCCTCACGAGACGCGGTAAGTCGATCCCCGATAAACCGATTGCTACCCGCCGGATCGGCGGGTAGTGAAGACGTAGCCTCAGACATTACATGTAGGAGAGGCAATGCTCTGTGGTCCTCATCTGTGTAGCATATTACATTTGCTATAAGCCTCTCTGTTATAGTAAATGTTCAGTCAGTTAATATGTACAGTTTGGGGTACACTCTGACTATAGGGTTGCTATACATTGCAAGCGTTTTCACTTAGGGCAGGGGTTCTCAAACTGGGGGTTGGAACCCCTCAGGGGGTCACGAGGCTATTACCTGGGGGGTCATGAGCTGTCAGCCTCCACCCTAAACCCCGCTTTGCCTCCAGCATTTATAATGGTATTAAATATATAAAGAAGTGTTTTTAATTTATAAGGGGGTCGCACTCAGAGGCTTGCTATGTGAAAGGGGTCACCAGTACAAAAGTTTGAGAACTACTGACTTAGGGCTTGTCTACACTTAAACTTTATAGTGCTCTACCTTGCTGGATCGGGGTGTGAAAAATCACCCCCCTGAGCGCAGCAAATCTGAGTGCTTTAAAGCGCTAGTGTAGACAGGCTCCGAGCGCTGGGAGCCGCGCTCTCAGCGCTTGCAGCTAATCCCCTCGTGGAGGTGGATTACCAAGAGCGCTGAGAGACCTCTCTCCCAGTGCTCGCGTGCGACCACACTCGCACTTCAAAGCGCTGCTGCGGGAGCGTTCCTGCGGCAGCACTTTGAAGTTTCCAGTGTAGACATACCCTTAGTCTCTCTATCTCCTCAGAGGACCCTCCTTGGGAGTTCTGCATTTTATGCTTTATAGAGGGGCTAATACCAGAACCAAATCACCTGCATCAAAGGCTCTTTCACCTTGCTTTTTGTCATACCACCCTTTTTGTACAGCTTGGCTTTTTTCAAGATTATGCAGTACTAGCTCCATACTGGTTTTTATCTCTGCCCTGAATTTAGATTCCAGTTCATTCACTTGTTCCCCTTCAGAGTCAGTGTTACCTTCCCACAAATTTCTGACCAGATCTAGGGGGCCTGTGACCTTCCTTCTGTATCGGAGGTTGAATGGGGAAAACCCTGTCAAGTCTTGGGGTACCTTTCTGTAAGCAAACAATAGGGAAGGCAGTAGCACACCCCAGTCCTTTGCCTTCCTGTCTACAGATATTGTTAGCATGGATTTAAATGTCCCATGAAATCTTTCAATTAACCCATTTGTTTCTGGGTGATATGGGGCAGACTTTAATTTTCCACAGTTCAGAGAATATGTGGGCCATGAAATTTGATCCCCAATCTGGCAGTATTTCTGTTTGAAAATGCACCCTACTAATTATGGAAACAAGTGCACTTGCCAGTTTCTGCTTCTGTATTAGCTAGCGCCACTGCCTCTGGGTATCTGCTGGTGCTTTTTGGATGGTTTAGGGCAGTGTTTTTTAACCAGAGGTACGTGAACCCCTGGGGGTACACAGGTTTTCCAGGGGGTACATCAACTCATCTAGATATTTCACCTACTTTTACAACATTCCGCATAAAAAGCACTAGCAAAGTCAATGCAAACTAAAATTTCATACCAACAACAACTTGTTTATACTGCTCTATATACTATATGCTGAAATGTAAATACAATATTTATATTCCAATTGATTAATTTTATAATTCTATGGTAAAAATGAGAATGTGAGCTATATTTCAGTAATAGTGTGCTGTGACACTTTTTTGTATTTTTAGATGTGATTTTTTAAGCAAGTGGTTTTCAAGTGAGGTGAAACTTGGGGGTATGCGAGATAAATCAGACTCCTGAAAGGGGTATAGTAGTCTCGAAAGGCTGAGAGCCACTGGCTTAGGGAGTGGACCAGTAATGTCCATACCAACCCTATGGAATGCTTCTCCAATTACAGGTAATGGTTGCAATGAGGCTTTGTGGAGACCTAAAATCTTTTTCCACTTTTAGTACAAGTCACAAGACTGACAGTATTCCTTCTAGGTTTATACCAGGCCAATGAAACTTTTCCTGAAGCCTTTCAAATATCCTCTCTACCCCTAGATGTCCAGTGGCCAAAATGGATGAACATCCTGTGTACCTCCATGGGTTCAGACTGTATACCCCCCTCAGTGTCCTCAGCTCATCAGAGCTGTGTTAACTTGGGCAGGATGGGTTTGGGTTTGGGGCAATATCTCTCAATGTAAAGCTCAGTAGAGTTACACATACAACATTTTCTTGGGCCCCTGTCCTGGGTCAGGGGGTTGTAACTGGGATTACTGGGTGGGTGCCTGTTGGGATATATTTGGCCTCGCTTCCCCACTCCTTGTTTTCATGAACAATTTGGGGACTCACTTTTACACAGGGTCTTTGCCCTTCCCTTTGGGGCTTTCGTTCAATACCCATTCTGGCCCTGAGCATGCAAATCAACAGCCCAAGCAGCCACCTGCACTTTATCAGGAGACGTTTCCCATATGGCAGCTCTGATTTCATCTGAGAAAGCATTAAAGAAATGTTCTTGGGTAAACAAATCAAACAATTTCCCATAATCCCATTCTGCCCTTTTACATTTTACCCATTTTTTCATAAAATCACACATTTTATGCATAAACTCCTCATGACTGATATTATCATGCGTCTTTAGATTGGTAAACATGGTATGATTCTGGAGTAAGTTGAAACCTTGACAATATAGTTTCCTTATATTTATCATAGTTTGTGGCTCCCCCCTGGCCCATGCCAGTAAAGACTTGGAAAGCTATACCCGAAATTTTGGGAACCAGTACAGACATTCATTTCCCAATGGAGATGCCATTGCCCTGGCATATATTTCAAAAGCAGTAAAATATTCTATGCAGTTTGCAGTCATATATGCAGTTCTTAAAATGTGGACACAGTCTGTCCCAGCTGAGAGAGTTCCGGCAGGGATTGCCCATGGGTTGTAGAATACCTTTTTGCTGCTCCAGTACTCTGAGCTGCATTTCTTGTGTCTCCATTTTCCGCTTGTGTGCGCTCTCTTCTGCTTCAGTCACTGCCGTTTGTCACTGCTGGGCTGCTCCTCTGCCTCCTTGTTAGCCTTGGTTGTGTGGATTGATTCCATTTGCAGCTCCTCTGCCTTGTTGATGACTGCCTTCTCTTGGAGTCTGAGCCATCTGCACCTGGTACTCATATGCCTCCTTGTCCCTGTGGAGCTGCAATTTAATCAGCTGTACCTGAGCACCAATTCCTGCAGGGGATTAAGGTCTGGTTGGTGTCCCAACTAGGGTGACCAGATGTCCCGATTTTTATAGGG